GAAAACAGCACCTCAGACTGAAGAAGTCTCTCGGACGAGAGACGAAACGTTTCTACATTTTTTGTTGTTTTGCTTTGTTTTGTTTTTTTTGAATGTCCAGAGGACCAGATTTAACTTTTTTAGATTTTTCTACCTGGATTATTGAGCATGCATCAGGACAAAAATAATAACCTCGTCCAAACCATCCACATGCCTGCTAGATCCCATCCCAACCAGACTGTTTAAAGAGCTATTTCCCCTAATTAATGTCCACATTTTGGATCTACTTAATTTGTCTTTAATGGATGGTTATGTACCACAGAGCTTTAAGGTTGCTGTAATTAACCTTGGATGCACGAACGACCAATACTTTCATTCTTCCATGAGTGGGGTCAAAAATGACATATTTTACTAACAGAGCACTTCGTTCTCAGACTGCAGGTTTACTCACGGTTCCTGGAGTTTCCACAACCAAAATGGGAGATAGATTTTTCAGTTATCAGGCTCCTCTCTTGTAGAACCAACTTCCAGTTTCTGTCCGTGAGACTGACACATTGTCCAGTTTTAAGACTGGGATTAAAACTTTCCTTTTTGATAAATCCTATAGTTAGGGTCGACTTGGGTTTCCTGAGCTGTCCCTTAGTTCTGCTGCTATAGGCTTAGACTGCTGGAGGTTTCTTCCTGTTAAAGGGAGTTTTTCTTTCCACTGTCTCCACTGTGCTTGCTCAGGATGGGAGACTGCAACGAAACCAAGATTCATCTTGTCTGCTGGATTCCTTGGATAGAGAACTTTACTAATTGGCTTTTATGTGAATGTTTCTGTAAAGTCCCTGAGACAACTTTGTTGTGATTTGGCGCTTTATAAATAAACTGAATTGAATTGAATTGAATTGAATAGATACTCTTCAAAATAAGAGCTTTGTCATAGACTAAAATAAAACAAAGGAAGTCCTGACCTGGGTTTTAAAACCAGTTTCCAGATGTTGGAGTTGCAGACAAGAGCTTCATTGAATCCCTTTAACTTTTATGCCTTTTTCTTCTTCTGTTGTCTCTTTTAGTTTGGAAAACTCTACGAAGTGAGGATGATGATGGACTTCAACGGAAATAACAGAGGCTACGCCTTTGTCACCTTCAGCAACAAACAGGAAGCCAAAGCAGCCATGAAACAGCTCAACAACTATGAGATCAGGTCAGCTGGGCTTTCCTCTCTAAATTTGGTCCAAACAAAAGTTGCTTTCTTGTAGAGGCCAATTACAGACCTTCAATTTAAACCCTACTAAAAACCTGAAAACATCTCCCCAATTAATCAACGAACTAAAACTATGGTAACCTCTTATAACTATCCATCCAACCATCCATCCATTATCTTTACCCGCTTCTTCCATTTTGGGTCACGGGGGTCACCGGTGCCCATGTCCAGCAATCACTGTGCGAGGGGCGGGGTACACCCTGGACAGGTCTCCAGTCCATCACAGGGACACAGAGACAAACGAGACAAACAACCATTCACTCTCTCTCTCACACCTAGAGAAAAGTTAGAGTTACCATCAGCCTAACATGCATGTTTTTGGTCTGTGGGAGGAAAGAGGAGTACCCGGAGACAACCCATGCAGCACGGAGAGAACATGCAAACTCCACCCAGAAAGGCCCTCGGACCGGGATTTGAACCAGGGACCGGCTTACTGAGAGGCAGCAGCTCTACCAGTTGCACCGCCGTGCTGCCTACCTCTTATAATCATCTATTCAAAACTCTGGTAACCACTGACAAACCAACCGTCTGAAAATGTTCAACATTTTTCAGTCAGGCCATCTGGACAGTTTCTTTTTTTGTGCTGAAACATTTGACCTTCCATCCAGAAAGCTTCATCAGTCAAGGAAACACACAACACAAAACTGATTCTTCCCCCAAACAGCTTACTCCAAAGTGAAACAAAACTGTTATGTTGGTGCTAAGATGGTGTCTTTGGCACGCCCCCTCCTCTGGTGCTGGCCCTCTCCCTCGTCGACAGTCATGTCAAAATTGTTCAAAATCAACAAAGTCGGTGCTCAGTAATCCTTGTATACAATCTAACAATTTTTAGTCAGGTCATCAGAACAGTTTTTTTTTTTTTTGTGATGAAACAAAGGTGAAACGTTTCAGCAGAAAAAAAGAAACTGTCCGGATGACCTGACTAAAAATTGTTGGATTGTATACATGGATTACTGAGCACCGACTTTGTTGCATCTGAAACTATGGTAACCACTGATAAACCAACTGTCTAAAACTCCTACTGTATGAATGTGAAAATAGAGTGTTTTATGAGTGTGTGTAGTAGTGTGCTGTATGAATGTGTGTAGTAGAGTG